GCCACCCAAGTTGAAATAGACTATTTGAAGGGTCAACCAGCTATATCTCCAGATCTTGCTCATGATGATTGTCATCTTTTCCGACTCTTTTCAACTGTAGACAAACTGTTATCTTTGAACAGTGTTGCCGAAAACAGGCTGAAAGGTTTTCTCAAGTGTAGTCCTAGCGATCCAGATGTAATGGCTTCAACGCATTTCTTGAAAAAAAAGAGGAGGAGGTCCCAGCTAATGACAACCATTGTACTTCTGTTGATTACTGGTATCTTAGACGAGTCGTTTTTAGATAAATTCTAAGGAATCGCAATAATTTATAAAAACTTACTGTTATCTGTTGGCGTGTCGTATTATTTTTCAACACTAAAGGGAAAGCTAAGGTGTCAGAGATACGATGAATAGGTGTGTTAAGTAAAGAAAGAGTTTTCAAATTTAATGCAATCGGCCAAGTTTATGCGCGGAGAAATGATCTGATGGGAACTACAGAAGTACGAAAAATTGGTCAGAATCTGCCATGTAAGATGCCGGACGCAATTAATTTGTATGAATTAGAAAGCCTCTGATGCACCAACAAAATTATGAAATATTTATTGACGAAAAAAGTTGAGTCTGCGGTTTTGTGCCAACATAAATGTGTTCAACCTATTTAAAATTTAAATATTCCGGCTACGACATCATTCTCCATTTCACATTCATTGACACCGCGGAGCATACGGAAATAGCCTCAAACAATTATTTATTTATTCAAAAACATCTTACATTGGCTTACAAATCTAAAGAGCTTACCATTTTCACCCCAATGTCTTCCTCATGAGTTAGCAAGAAGCCAATATTTTACATCATTTTCGACTCCCCAGCCCAGAAGCTTGACAGCGTGACCTCCTCTAAGCTCACCTCCTATATGCTGAAATGAGGTTATATTAAGTTAAGATCAAAATCAGTCCTTACCTAGGCAATTATCACCACAGCTTACATGATATATTCCACCCGTGTAATGCTTGAAGTCTTCGTAAACATCGAACCCAACTTCTACTGGTCCATTAAGGTAGATTTCTTTCATAATTTCTTTCGAATCGTTTACAACTTTGTACACATTAGATACTAAAGAATTTGACTGTTAGAAAAGCATAGAAGAATAGCAGAAAAAAGGGTTCAAAAAGCGACTAAATGGCGGCCATATCACCTGAGTCAGTGGATAGCGAGAAGTTATATATGACGTACTGTAA